GATTGGGTGACCTTTGCCGACGGCGGCGAGACGGAAGCGCCCCACACTACAGTCTCCCCCCTGCAACGATATTTCTTCCGGCCCGCCACTGCGCCTTTCAACGACTTGCTCTACCACGAGTATTTCGAACCCTTCATGGTGGCAAAGACGTGCCCGATTGGCTTGCGATGCTTCTTCCCTGACCTCTTCCCTGAAGCGGCTGGGCGACCCAAGGACGCCTCCACTTTCATGTCCCAGCGCCGGGTTCGCGGCGCTTTGCGTGCGTTCCAGGTGCCGCCCGTCCTCGACACAGGTCCTGCAGGTAACCAATTCTTCGTTTATTTGAAGCAGAAAGGCGAACATCCAGTCTGCCGCTTGGAGATGAAGTTCCCCCGGCAGAAGGATGTCCTTTTCCTCCGCCACATGTTGCTGAATTCCCCCAGGCGCAGTTTCCAGGACTGCAAAACCTACGGCGGGCATGCATGCGCATCTTACGAGGAGGCCATGGTTGCCACGGGGCTTTTCACCCACGAAGACGAAACGCCCCGTGTCATGGGCGAGCTGGTCTCGCTCCGATACACGGCGTCTCAACTACGATTCGTTTTCGTCGTCCTCCTCGAGCAGGGCGCCAAACCCTGCACTCTGTGCGACAAGTACGAGGCACATTTGATGACGGACTTTCTCGACAGAGGTCTCTCCAAGGACAGCGCCCGCCAGGAGCTGCAGCGAACGTTGAAGGCATCTTGGCTGGCCCAAGGAAACACTGAGGACGCCTGGTTTCTACGCCGCCCCGCTCCTCCATGCAATGCCCATGGCATGCCAGTGCCCAACTTTCCCAACCAAACCCCAGCAACAGCTGCGTCAGAAGCCGGCAGACTCTGGAACCTCATCAAACGAGACCCTGATCAGTCCGGAGCCGCCAGGGACGTCATCGACGCTTTGCGCTCCGGCACGTCGAGGCTCATTTTTTTGCCACGGGAAAGCTGGTTGCGGAAAATCCACGCTCGCCAAGTACATCTCCTACTACGTGCGCCCCTTCAACAAAGGCTGCGTCAATGTGGCCTCTACGGGCATAGCAGCCCTCAACTTGCCAGATGGAGCCACCGCGCATTCCACCTTCAAGATCCCGACAGAGGACGCAGAGCACCTTACCTGCCGCTTGGGCCACTCTTCTGCGGACGCCCTTGCCATCGCAGCCGCCGCAGTCATCCAACGGGATGAGCGGCCGTCTTGCAAGCGCGCTGCTTGAGACGCGGTCCTCGACTACCTCACGGCGCTACAGCGCGCCCACCCCGACATCTACGTCCCAAAAGTAATCATCACATACGGGGACTTCCGACAGATACCACCTGTTCTCAAGCACGCATCGAGACAGGACATCCGCGCCGCGAGCGTCACGACGTCGCCTTCGTGGCCGTCCTTCCGCACTTGGCAACTCCGCACCACGCGCCGGCAAATCCACGACGCAGACTACGCTTCGTGGATCGAACGCATCGGCCTGGGCGACCTTCCGCACGCGCACTCCATCGATGGCAAGCCGGGCTACATCGAGCTGGACCGCTGCTCCGTCATCCACACCATGGACAACGCCATCAGCCATTGCTTCCCCCACGTCAACGACCCCGCCGAGTGCGCCCACCGGAAGATTCTGACAGCAACAAACGAGGCGAGACATTGTTTCAACGACCGTATCCTGGACACTCTGACGCAGACGTACTTGCTGCGCCAATTCGTCACCCGAAGCTCGGACGCCATGGAATACGACTCCAACAGCGACGCCGTCGAAGACCACATCGCCGCCCACGAAGTCCAGAGCGCCACTCCTGAACGAGAAGTCCGATTTGGAAGCGTCTTGAGACCATCCTTCATTCGCATCCACGGCACCATGTACAATGTACAGGAAAGTGTACTCGGCTGCCGACTCTGGGCCGGTCCGGTACCTCGTGGTGGACGACCGCGAACGCCGCGCTTGCGCACGAGAGCACGGCCTCGACCTGTCCATCGTCTCCCAGCTGGAGAAGCTCATCATACCGCACAATCCGCACATGCAGCACGTTCAGCACCTCAAATCCGTGTGGCCCCGTGCCCCACAGGCTTCCGTCACCCTCCGCTGGGGCGAAGGCATCCAAGAAGTGGCCGCAGTAGTGCAGCAACGCCCCGACGCCATCGCCGAACCTAGGGCAGCGCGCTTCCGTTTGACGCCAGGCTCCCGCCCAAAATACCTTTCACCCTTGCATTGCCTCTACGAGCCTCTGAGTTACCCGCTGTGGTTCCCATGCGGCGGCCGCGGGTGGAGCACCGACGCCGTGTCCACATCCGGCAACCGCGCGACGCAGATGCGGTGGTACCGCCAGCACCTCCTCCGCCAGCCCCACACGCACGCGTGCGGGCGTCTGTTGAACGACTGGCTCATCAACATGCACTGCCGGATGGAGGACGAAAAGCCGTCGCTGGTCAGGAGAGAGCAAAGCGCTCGCATCGCCAGCCGCAAAGATTTGTGCGAGGCTCTGGCCAACGAGCACATCCCCACCAGCGCAATTGGCACCAAGTACTACCTCCCCTCCACTGTCCCTGGCTCCCCGCGCCATCTCAAGCGGCTCCGAGTGGACGCATTGGAACTGGCACGCCGGAAAGGCCCCCCCCCAACTTATTTCATCGCCCTTACGTGCAACCCCCACTGGCCAGAGATCAACATTTGCCTGTCTCGCACCCTCATGCTACCCTCTCTTTTCCATTGCACTCTCCCTTCCTCCCTCTCTGCTTTCCTGTGTCATCGTCACCTTCTGCCCGCTAGTCAGCCTCCTCCCTCCCCCAGTCTTCCGCGCCCCTCCTCTGCTCACCTCCCCTTTTCACATCCCCCTTCATGCGCTTATGCCCGACGGGGCGGCGAACGCATCCACTGGCAACATGTTGTCACCCAGCGAACAGAAGTCTATCAGAACGGCTTCCTCGGACGGCATACTTGGCATAGTTGGGGCACAGATGTTTTGACGTGTAGGCGCCTCATGCTTCCATGTCGTAACTGCATGAGCTACGCTACGTACCACGATTTGTCGCATTTCCCCATATGCTTTTTGGATGGAAGTTGCACTTACAAGAAACATGACCGTGACGTCTTCGTGAATGCAATCCACAAGCGCAAAACAGGTGGTCGGGACATGCGCCACTGGGTTCCTGTCAAAGAGCTGCCAGACGCGTTCAACCTTGGAAACCTCACAGACAAGCTTGCCCCTCAGGTGAACCACGACTTCAGCAAACGCAAATTCAACCATTACCATCCCATTCTGGACACTACGAGCGCCGCAAAACATTACCTCATGATGTCCAACAAAACACATACATGGATCAATTTGGCATTTTTTGTCATCATGTCAACTGTTTACTTAAACGAAGGCCACTACTTGATCACCGCGCTGGCCGTGCATAGTTGGCTCGCTCATCAAAAGACGTCCCGGGCGCAGCTCCTGGGCGACGCCGCCGCCCGGGCGACACTCCAGAAACGACTTTCGGACCAGCGCAACACCATGGCTACGGACGAAAAACTGCCGGCTCTAATTTCTGTTGATTCCTGCGACGTCCGTCGCTTCTACGACGCACTGGTTATTTGCGAAGACCTGCATGGCCGACAACCAGATGCAGGATGCCACATCCCGAGCTTCACAGAAGGCGACGACAACTCCAATCTCGCGCCAAACGGATCCGGGACAAAGCCTCACAGAGTTGCTGTGCGCATGCACCACATTGCCGCTACCCTACGAGAACACAGTGCCCAATTGAACAAGAGCCCCGTCCTGTTGGTTCAAATGACAAAAACACTCCTTGCCACGCACGCGCATTGGCTGCCTTATCAGGCACAGCTGGTATACATGCGTTTTTTTTTTTCGGAGCTCGTTCGGAGCGCGCAATTGGGAGCAATCGATCATATCAGACATTTCTTTCATTGAACATGTTGGCGATGGAGATTTTCACTTCTTGCGGAAGTTGCGCCCAGAAGCTTTCTCGATTTACAACTCTTTGGCAGACAGGGGGCCCGTGGAGGCTGCCGGGGCCACCGTTGCCACGAACGTTTCTAAGGGCGAACGGGACCTCGGCCGCACGTTGATCCAACTGTTGACTTCCAGGCAGGGAAGCACGTCGTTGCATTCAAAAGTGAACGAGCTCCTCGGCTTCAGCGCCATGGACTTTCACGAATCGCAATACACAGTTTGCGAAGTGCGCACCTTCGTTTATGGCACACGCCTGAGGAAAACAGAGACGACGGACTCCTGGCTAGAGAAGATGCGCGCGGCCCACCGGCGCTGGCATCGGGAGGTCCTCCTGCCGCACGTCTGAGGCGCGGTGGCAACCGGAGACCGCAGGCGGACCCGTGAGTAGAGCAACTCCTCCAACGCACCGACACCAACAAAAAGCCTCCCCTTTTTTATCTCCTCGCCCCCTGTGGAACCATGAGTTTCTGGGATCCATGAGTTCCCCCGCCACTCCTTCACTCGTGTTCTCGAACACCCCGTGGGCCAATATTTAAGGCGAAGCGGAGCGAGCCTTCAAAATCTTGTATATATATATATATAACTATACATTTACACATGTATACACGTATATATGTTTGTGTACATATACACATGCACATATATGTTTATATATATGTGTTATCATACGCACCTCTCCGATGGAGTAGAGCTCAGAGCCGACTGATTGAAGGCGGCGCCCGCGATTTGTCTGGCCGTTTCGCCGGGGACATCCTCGAAATTCTGAAAACCAGTGGCGCCCTTCACGCAGATCGCGACGCCAGGGTCCAAAAACACATGGGACTTGCAACATTCTAACATCACCTTCAAAAACACATTGTAAGTTCAATGAGTTTGACCCCGATTCTCAGAGAATGGCGCTTTCGCCAGAGACATCCTCCCAAAACCGAGCCCCGACGTACCTTTTAGTACCCCGCCTCGGAGCCTCTTGGGAGCCTCCTGGAACCTCCCGGGGCCTCCTGCGGCCTCCTGGAGCCTCTTGGGAGCTGATCCTTCGACCGCCTCTCGCATTCCTCGACCCGTATTTCCAACTTGGCGATGTTGTCGAGAAGTTCGCCCTCGCCTCCGAAGGCGAACTCCAGCGCCTTCATCGACCTCGTGAGGGTGCTCCCCATGTTCTGCGGGTCGCACTGGAGGCTCGAACGACGTCGGGCATCCAACCCGTCTTGATCGCAAACTTCCCGTTTGATGCCGAGCGGGCACCTTCTTTCTGCATCGTCAGCTGGTAGAAGAACGACTGGGCCATTTTCCTGCACTCGTCGTCGTAGTTGCTGTAGTTCAACTCGTTTTGGCTGAACTCGACCTGCCGCCCCATCGGGGATTGCAGCCGTGAGCTCCTCAATCGTCGTGTTCTGCGTCTCCGCGACACCGCGCAGCCGTCCGATTTTCCATTCGCACCCTGCAGCTCCGCCAAGAGCGCCTCCACGCTCATCGCGGCGCGCCGTGAGTCTGCGGGTCGGATCACCCGCCCTCCTCTGCAGTCTTGACAGGAATTATCAAATCATGGGATCATCTTTCACTCTCGGATCCTCGCGCCAGAACGGCGACAGTACATCGCGCCACACATTCACGATCACATTAATGTGTTATCTTACGCGCATGCCTCACGCGGGGCCTCGGGGCTGCAGGAACACGAAGGGGGGCGTCAGGGGCGCCATTACCGAGAGCTCACCAAACACATGTCCCAATGCCGCTGACCCTTTGGTGGTTCTTCTCCCAAAGAAATCCTATCATATTCCTCCGCAGAAAGGGATCCCATTGGAATCCTCCACGCCAGGAGTCCGACTGACACCTGCCACAGGAGAAACCCTAGTGCCACCCCATGCAAAAGGAGTCCGATTGATATCGCACATCAAAATAATCCGATTGCAATCCCTCCACAAGAAGAAACCGAATGTAACCCGCCACACATAGAACCCGATTGAACTCCGCAGCAAAAGGAACCCTATTGAAATCCGCAACAAAAGGAAACCTTGTGTAACCCTCCATCTAAAAAGCGATCGGCATCATCTCGAGAGAAACATACTGTGATCCACCACACATGAAATCCTGATATAACCCGCCACGAGCGGAATTCGATTGGAATCCGCTGCAAAAGAAATCCTAATGTAATCATGAAATTCCACAGTTCCACATCTACCTGATGTTGTTTCGCTGCTGTTGCACCTCGCCTGTGTTGTTTGCGTTCCACCAATATTTTTGCTGTTCAAGCACAGGGAGCACATGGCCGATGAAGGCCGATGAACATGTTTTCACGATTCGGCACCATGGGAATATAATAGTCGGCCTTGAGTTTCCCTGTGCCTGGGCAGCAAAAGCCTGCGCGGAGACCACAACATACAAATGTTTAGAATTCCTGAAATCAGAGTTTCCCTGTGCCTGGACAACACACAAAGCGAGGAACAATAGAACAAAAAACTTGGGGACGTATGTCATTCGGATTACAATGGGGTTCCATGTGTGGCGGGTTACAATGGGATCCTTTTCTGTGGAGGATTACGCTCGGATAACTTTCGTAAAAGGTTACGCTAGAGTTCCTTTGCGGAGGACTTCCTTGGGATTCTTTTTGCGGAGGATTACAACAGGATTCCTTTTTTAAATGGAGGGTTACACTTGGATTCTTTTTGTAGCGGATTTCCATGGGATTCCTCTTATTGGGGCCTTCAATCGGATTCCTTCTGCGTCGGATTACAATAAGGCTCCTTTTGCGGACGATTGCAATCGGATTCCATGTGTAGATGATTTCAATTATCGCCGGCCCAACGGGCCAGAGGCGTGCTAAGATCTCCGGCGGCTACTTAACAATACTTCTAGTTCGCGCGCGCGGGGCGGCCCCTGGGGGGCCCCGGGCGAAAAATACCCTGGCAAGGTTCCGGGACACGCCCGGCAAACTCAGGTCAAAGATGGTTTTCCTCCTGGGTGCGGCATTCCACGCTCCCTGGAGCGCTCCAACAGGGCCCCAACAAGACGGTCCAAGCGGGTTCCGAATCACCGAACGATCGGCCCAAGACGCCCAACACGGCCTCAAGACGGCCCAATAAGCTTCCAAGACGCCCCGAGAAGAGAGCCCCGACCCTTCCCAAGAGAGCCCCAAGAGGCCAAAACCATTGATTCCAGTTGAGTTTTTCAAGGTGTTTGGCTTCCTCGCCTTTTCGCGTTTCCGACGCTCCAAGACGGCCCGAGAAGCCTCCAAGACCACCCCAAGACGGCCCAAGAGGCCTCCAAGAAAACCCCAAGATCGCCCAATAGGGCCCCACGACAGCCCAAGAGGCGCCGAAGACGGTCCAGGAGGACCCCAAGGGGGCCGCAAGAGGGGCCCAACATGGAGACCACGAGCTGAGAATCCGAGCCTTCCGTTCCAAGAGGCCTCCTGGAGGCTCCAAGAGGCCCCCAAGAGGCCCCAAAAGGCGATAAGGGGCCCGAAAGAGACCCCAAGAGGTTCGACAACGACTCCCGAGAGTCTCCGAGAAGCCCTCGAGAGGCATCCAACGAGATCCCAATGAACGTCCACGAAGCCTCAGAGCGCCAAAACCATTGATTTTCATTGCGTTTTTCCAAAGATGTTGGCCTCCTCGCCTTTTCACGTTTCCGACGCTCCAAGACGGCCCAAGAAGCCTCCAAGACCACCCCAAGACGGCCCATGATGCCGCCAAGAGAGCCCCAAGACCGCCCAAGAGGGCCCCACGACAACCCAAGAGGCGCCGAAGACGGTCCAGGAGGACCCCAAGAGGGCCGCAAGAGGGGCCCAACATGGAGACCACGAGCTGAGAATCCGAGCCTTCCGCTCCAAGAGGCCTCCTGGAGGCTCCAAGAGGCCCCCAAGAGGCCCCCAAAGGCGACAAGGGGCCCGAAAGAGACTTCAAGAGGCTCGACAACGACTCCCGAGAGTCTCCAAGAAGCCCTCGAAAGGCGTCCAACGAGATCCCAATGAACGTCCACGAAGCCTCAGAGCGCCAAAACCATTGATTTTCATTAGGTTGTTTCAGAGTTTTTGGCTTCCTCGCCTTTTCGCCTCTCCGTCGCTCCAAGACGGCCCAAGAAACTTCCAATACCACCCCGAGACGGCCCAAGAGGCCTCCAAGATAGGCCCAGGACCGTCCAAGAGAGCCCCACGACAGCCCAAAATGCGCCCAAGATGACCCAAAAGGACCCCGAAAGGGCCCCGAGAGAGGCCCAAGATGGAGACCACGAAACGAAAATCCGAGCCTGCCGCTCCGAGAGGCCTCCTGGACGCCCCAAGAAGCTCCTAACAGGCCCCAACAAGCGACAAGGGGCCCGAAAGAGACCCCAAGAGGTTCGACAACGACTCCCGAGAGTCTCCAAGAACACCCTCGAGGGGCATCCAACGAGATCCCAATGAACGTCCACGAAGCCTCAGAGCGCCAAAACCATTGATTCCCATTGGGTTTTGCAAGGTTGTTTGCCTCCTCGCCTTTTCACGTTTCCGACGCTCCAAGACGGCCCAAGAAGCCTCCAAGACCACCCCAAGACGGCCCAAGAGGCCTCCAAAAGAGCCCCAAGATCGCCCAATAGGGCCCCACGACAGCCCAAGAGGCGCCCAAGACGGTCCAAGAGGACCCCAAAAGGGGCCCAAGCGGGGCCCAACATGGAGACAAAAAAGCCTCCAGGACCACCCCAAGACGGCCCAAGAAACCTCCAAGAGAGCCACGAGACCGCCTAAAAGGGCCCCACGACAGCCCAAGAGGCGCCCAAGACGGCCCAAGAGGACCTCAAGAAGACCCTAAGGGGGGCCCAAGATGGAGACCACGCTCCGAAAATCCGAGCCTTCCGCCGGGCCAAGAATGGTTCCCGCCTGCGAAATCACCCAAAACTGGCCATCCATAAACAAAACAACGACCCAGCAGCACCCCATTGACAACGATCACACGGGCACTCGACAGCCGTGCGCCAATACGGGCCGAAGCGATCCGCCGCCCCGCCGGGAACGGCGCGTAATATCCCCGCCGCATGGTCTGCACGAACTCAGTCCCCTCAATCTGCGCGCGCGCGAACTCCTCGTGCCAATACCCATTCCTCAGAGCCCTTGCAACCCCTCCTGGGGTCCTCCCCGCGGCCTGCTCATTCCGCTGGCCCGGGGGCCACAACTGCGGAATGAGCGCTCTTTGGCCATCATTTTCGCTTCAGAACACACCTCGTTGGAAACGTTCGTCAAGGCGCCGCCGGCCTCTCTTAGAGGCCTCCCCGGGAGCTCACTGACTCGATGATGGAGGCCTCCAGACGCTCTCCTGGGTCGATCTTGGCCGTCCTCCAGGCCATTTTGGTCCAGTCTGGCAGCCCGCCCACCACTCCTCGGCCCACCTCGACTACAAACAACCAACACGCAAAAAACTTTGTAAAACACATATGAATATGTCCATTCTGGCCTTGTCGAGCCTCTATTCTTGCCTCGTTTCGAGCTCACGTGCGTCTTCGCGGGCTCTTGGAAGCACGTTGGGATCAGCGGGCGTTCTCTGCGGCTGTCCTCCACGCCTCCCGACCCCGGCCCGGGCCGTCTGGCAGCATTTCTGGGGTTTTCTTGGGCCGTCCTGGGCGCGCCCAGGGGGTCCCCGGAGTCCCTTGTGAGGCCCCCAAACAAACTCGGATCTCGTTTGTACGCCTTTCCGTATGCATTTTCCTTTCGTCCACACTTTTGCACACCCTCAGGCGTCCTTTTTAAATCACTCCGCGTTCCCAAAAAAATGTGGGGCGGCGGTGTCTGCCCCATCAGGGGCGTTCAATTAAATGATTATTGTTGTGCGGGTTTCAATCTGATTTCATTTTGTGAAGGACCACCATGGAAAATCACGTTGTAAGCCGCCACAAACAACATAACAATAACACTAATAATAAACAGTAGCTGAACAGTTTGTGATGTGTGTGGTTCTTGGGGTTCGCTGGGGGGGGGGGGGGGCGTCATGTGTATTTATGTATCCATGTGTGTATATATATATATATATATATATATATATATATATGTTTATATATATATATATATATATATATATATATATATATATATATATCAAAGTGAAAGGGCTGAACCGAACGGTCATTCACTGTCCGTGGGTGCGTGGCTAAAGTGGAATTCTGCGATGCGGATCCTTGTTGTTGTTGATGTTGGTGTTGTTGTTGTTGTTGTTGCTGCTGCTGCTGCTGTTGCTGCTGCTTGCTGTTTGTTGTTGTCGTCGTCCCACCCGCGACCTGCCCCGCGACCCACCCGCGACCCACCCGCGACCCACCCCGCGCCCACCCGCTACCCACTCCGCGACCCACCCGCGACCCACCCGCGACCCACCCGCGACCCACCCCGCGACCCGCCCCGACCCGACCCACCCGCAACCCACCCGCGATCCACACCCGCGACCCACCCCGCGACCCCCCCCCGCGACCCACCCGCGACCCACCCGCGACCCACCCCGCGACCCACCCGCGACCCACCCCGCGACCCCCCGCGACCCACCCCGCGACCCACCCAAAATTTTCGGCGCCTGCGGCGGGATGTTTTTGCATTCGTTCCAGGCGGAGAACCTGCGACCC